GAGACAATTTGGGAAATCCTGATCTTCTGCTGGTCTCAGGTGGGGAATCCTTGAGGACCAGCAGGCACACAGCTGCCTCAGAGCAGCTGGCACAGAGCACTGCAAACCCTGAGCACCTCAGAGCTCAGAACACTCTGACCTCCAAAGTCCAAGCTGCTGGGGCTCAACTGTGGTGTTAGTCATAGAGTGAGGACTCTCCCTATGAAGTCTCCCAGGCTCAAAGTCTTCCCTCAACTCTGGAAATGCAAACCCAACACTTACCTCATGGAAAGGCTCTGCAGGTTAAGGAGGAGACATGTGAAAAGTGCCTGGTGGACACCGGGGATGCCACTGTGGCTGGGTGACAATGGTGACGCAAGTGGAGGGGCAGGTGGCCAATCCTCAGTCTGTCTCCCCCAGGCCCTGTGAGCACAGGTGGAGGCTCTCTCCAGGCTCTCACCCGGCCCCACCCCAGCATGTCTCCAGCTTCCTCTCAGTCCTGGTTCCCCTCAGCCCTGCAGTCAATCCCTGAGCTGGGAGGGGGCCCTTGAATCCACCTTGTCCTGTGTCACAGTGTCGTCCATTTAGGCTCACATTGCCACTAGGCCTCTTGTCAGCCAAGGACTGTGGCCACCTTTTGTACCTTCTGCAGCATGGCTTCACCTTCAAGTGCAGGTGATGACAGTGCCCATACAGAAAAAAATGTCACCATCTATCTTTATTTATCTTAATTTTCCAGTTTTCCAACCCTCAGTGAGCAAGGAAGAGCATGGCTTCCACCAGAAGGCATGAGGTCAGCAGTCATAGAAGCAACCAACAGGCAAATGCACCTGAAAATAGACCCAGCAGGGAAGCACCAGTATTCACTGAGGGTGGGAACCCCGCAGATCTGGTCATCTACAAGCTTATCAGAGAACTTACCATGAGTAGTAACTTTGCCAGAGAGACTTATTTGCCTGTTAAAAATCATAAAATTATGTAACATAATACTTTAAAATTTTCTGTCAACACAAAACTAATCTGGTAGCTGTGGCTTCTGGTGAGCCACTGGGATAAATGGTATTGTAAGGAAGGCTGGCTCTGTGGTACCCCAACCTGCCAGGGCTTCAGATGGTGGTGGCCTCCCCAGAAGTACCTGGCAACTCACCTGCACAGGGCCAGGGTCCCAGCTCCCCACACCCGAGTCACCACACC